TTTTTTTTGCTTTTTACTGTTCTCTCCATCTCACATTTTACAGGCCTCAGTCAGCATGTTTAATGTTAAATTCATTACAAGTCAATTAGAACAAGACTGACATGTGTGGATTGTTTGGAAGGGTTGTCAGGAGAAAGCGTCTTCTTGCTAAAAGAGAACATGGCAGCGCAGCTTAGGTTTGCAAAGTTGCATCTGGAAAAATGACGAATCTAAACTGGAGATGTTTTGCCGTAATGTTAAGTCTCACATTTAGAAAAAACCAAACAGCGTGTGAACACAAATACCTCCTACCAGCTGTCAGTACGGTGGTCGAGGGGTGATGAATTGGGCTTGGTTTGCAGCCACAGGACCTGAGCATCTGTCAGTCATTGAGTTGAGCACGAACTCCTCTGTATACCTAAGTATTCTTGAGTGAAACATGAGACTTTCTGTTTGACAGATAAAGCTTGTCCCAAATTGGATCTTGCAACAGGACAATGATCAATGAGAACAGCAGCAAATCTACAAAAAATGGCTAAAAACAGAAAAGAATCAAGGTGTTCCAATTGCCCACTGAAAGTCTAGCCCTCAACCTGATTGAAATGCTGTGGTGGGACCTTAAGAGAGCTGTGCATAAACAACTCCCCTCATTGAATTGAAGCAACGTTGTAAAGAAGAGCTGGCTAAAATTGTTTGACAGTGATGTGGCAGAGGTGGTTCTACAAGGTGACATTTATTATAATATATAAAAACCCTGAAACTCAAGGATGGTGTACTTTCATTTTCACATTATTTTTCATGTGAAGAACATCCTACATTTGTTTAGTGTCATATTTGATATTTGCCCATATTTGATGGACTCTTTTCAGCCAATATGGATGTGACCACCCATAAATTAAAACTAAACAATTGTACTTAACCTGTGAGATCTTAGCTTCAATCTGCAGACAGGACACAAAAAAGTTATAATATTTTAACAGTGTGAGTTTAATTTCAACCTTAATATCCAACTAATCACCACCAAGCACTTAATCACAGGATATTGTGTAGTGCAATATAAGCACTTCCCTGATTACATTATACACTTAAAATAAAGTGAGACATATGATTATACCAACTGTGACACAAAAGTAATCACTGAAACACAGGAAGTCAATGCATAGCATACTAGAGGGGAATGACTTCTGCAAGGTTAGACAAAGTGATCCAGATCTCTGGCCCCAGCTCTCTACCAGTTTTATGAAATGAAAAGGCATTGATAGTTTTTCTGCAGTCGTGCTATGCACTATAGAATTTACAAAAGAGAGGAAAAATAAATCTGGCAGCACTATAACTGTTAAAATTGACTGTTTCAACGTCGCCTCCTGCATGTTTTCTGTTTGACCAACTGTGTTATTTTTGCAGGCTCATGAAGTCTGAGGGCGTCAATGGGAGCCCAGTAAACTGGACAGTGTCAGATGTTGTCAGTTATTTCACAGCAGCGGGTTTCCCTGAGCAGGCTGCTGCGTTCAGGACCCAGGTAAGGCTGTGATCTTCCTTAGTTGCCACTAGAGTGCACCATACAGAAGCTCAATGGCTTGCGCTTCACTTTAAACACTTGTAATCAACATGCACCCGCATGCGCTGTTTTGCTCTCTTCATTAGGAAATCGATGGAAAGTCACTTCTCCTCATGCAGCGTAATGATGTTTTGACTGGCCTGTCAATCAGACTTGGCCCCGCCCTCAAGATCTATGAACGTCATGTAAAGGTTCTGCAGAAAACACACTTTGAGGATGACGACTGCTAACAGCATGAATCAAATACAAGCAGACTGTTGTGTTTGTATCTACATATAGCTAACGTAGTATAAAAATGCATGCATGATATACAGTACAATACACTTAACTTTTCATCTCATGTCACACAACACATGCAAACACAAAAACACAGGTACACACACACTGTTGTTTCTTATCCTCCTGCCTCTTGACATCAGAAATGAGACTGGATTTTCTAGACAACAAGGATTTTCTATCAGAGCACAAGTGTCGGAGGGAGAAAGTAGAGCAGAGATTTTCAAACAACCATGCAATTTCTCCTTTAAGACAAACAACAATTAAGCACTTTGCAATTGTACTGATTAAACTGTGCAAAATGTTTTGGTTTAAGCTGTCACTTCATGCTGACTTTTATGCACATTTTGAAAGCGGTATGTTTTTTTTCTGGGACTTGGGGAAGGGATCATTTGCATTTTTGGGCTATGATCTGAGAATGTTCTTGTTGGTGTGTACCTTTCCTTCTACAAATAGACAGAAGATGTTGAAAAGGACAGCAAAGAAATTAGAGGTTGACCGGATTTGAGACATTCCCAAAGCTGAAGTAGGCTGATGATGGCTGGCATGATGAACCTTTATATTGTTCTCTATGTTTAAAACAAAACCTGTGCAGGGTTATTGAAATTTTGGAAATGGTTGCTGGTCAAAGCAATAAACTGACTAAGATGTTTGAGAGGCTTTTGGACCATGTCAGCTTATCAGCTGGTTGATTTTGTGTAACTTAATATCTCATATGGAAAAAGTATTTTTTAAATCTGCTTAGGGCTATGCATCACCACCTTATATGCTGGTTTTACAGAGATACACTTTGATATTTGCTTTACATCAGACTTTACTTCTTTAATAGACACCTAAAATCGCATGTCACACAGAACTGTTTAACTGTCTTATGTAGGTCCAGTTTTATAGAAATTATGAGTAAGCTGAGAGCTTTTTTCCTAAACAAACTAAATGGATCGATCTACTGGGAGTGATCCGCTCATCAGTGATGATTTACACAAAGAGTGTAATTTTTAAGTGTATTTAAAAGTGTTTAAGTGTATCTTTAGTTATCATGACATCTTGGACCAGAGTTAAGATGTTGTGATTTCTTGAAGACAGTTCATCCTCAAATCCAATTAAAGGGAACTATTTAGTACTTTATTACTAAAAGAGATATTGCAGCTCAGCTGAGGGGGATAATAGTCGCTCTTTTTGTAGTCACATTGAAAAGATTGATGGGTGTAGCTCAGTAGAAAGAAACTTGTTCCTAACAGAAACTGCTCACCCAAAAGCAAAGTGATTGGATTTTTTTTTTTGTTATTTTCACTGAGTCACTGCTGAATTATTCCAAATGAATGAAATTTGGACTCTGGACGCCTCCTCACTGATTTTAGATCAAGAAATCAAGACATGATTGAAGTGAAGGCCTTCAGCTTTAACAAACAAATTGGAATAACAGCTATTTTTGTACATAGTCCTCAGTTTCCAGAGGCTAAAAAGTAATTGGACAACTGACTGACAGGCACCTCTATGGTGATGCTGTTATCTTCGTTATTTCATGACAAAGTAAAAGTATCTTGTAAAAGACAGAAAGTATCTAAAGGAGCCTGCACAGTTCTGAAGAAATATTGCAAAGAATAACCAGAATGATGGAGACAGAAACATACCATACCACATCATACGTCAAACATGGTGAAGGCATGTAATGGTACGGACATGTGTGGCTGCCACCACAACTGGACTTCTAGTGTTTATTAATATTGTGATTGCTGATAGAAGTGGCAGAATTAGTTCTAAAGTGTGCGAGGCATTGAGGTTCAGGTTCAGCCAAAAGTTCGAAACTGATCCAAGAACCATTCAATTTGATGGATAGTGGATAGTGAGTCAAAGTGCAGGGCAAAAGCTGCCCAAGAGTTTCTCAAGGTAAAGAAATGTGAGATTCCTCAATGGCTAAGACAGTCACCTGACATGTTTTTAGTTATTAAATATAAAAATGGTGGCAGAAAGACCCACAAAGAGCAACTGAAGGAGCAACAGTAAAGTCCTGGCAGAGCATCTGAAGGAGTAAATGCAGCATTTGATGATGTCAGTTTTCATCCAAATATTAAAACACTCTTCGATTTATTTTGCTTTTTCAGGCTAATGATAGCTTACGTCACTTGCATCAACACCGCTTTGGACCTCATTGAGAATTAAATGGAATCCGTTCAGGGGCTTTTATCAGCTGTATTTATCATGGAATAATAAGGGAACAGACCTCATCTGATCACAATCATACTTTTTAGCCTGCAGTAGGCATTTGGTAATGTCCAATGGTTCTAGACTTCAAGGTTTCCAGCAAAAGTAGTTTAATTAATCCTTATTTTTAAATTTTTCTTATTCAGTTACTTTTGAGCCTCTAAAATCAGGGCCTTTGTATAACAATGTGTGCGAAACGTTAATACAATACTTTTGTTAAAACCCCTCAAATGGAAGTCTGCACTTGAGTCACATCTTCAATGCTTGATTTAAAATCTTCTGTGGTGGTGTGCAGCTCTCTAACTGTTCCCAATATTCATCCAAATATTTATGGTTTTAGACACCAGAGAAAAAAATATTTCAATTCGATTTCTGTATGAACTTCCTCTTTAATATGACAGCATATGTCAGATCATCATGAATCAACCACTAGCTTTAAATGTAAAGTCTTTTGTATGGTATTTTTAGCGTACTAGCTTAATCGTTGAGAATGATTTCGCTCGATGTCTTGAAAACACTTTAGTGCTGTTCAATCAACACCAATGTAAGATAAAAGTAAAACAGGATGTAGCAGCAAAAGGTAGCATGCCTTACACACACACACACACACACACACACACACACACACACACACACACACACACACACACACACACACATTTTATTGGCCCTAAATATGTCTTTATTTAATGTAGGTTATTTATTTGTGTATTATATGTCAGTTCCAGACACATACTTAAGGTAATATTAACTTTGTTAGTTGCTTCTGTTAGCTAGTTACACTTGGCAGTTACTTTTTAATATTTAGTAAATAGATTTTAATTTTGTCATACATAACTAGGAAAAGCTTGAAGGGACAGGCAGCTGGTTCAATCTTTTGCCTTCCTGGGTCTATGAAAACACCTGACTGTTACTTTTAACAGGGACAGTGCATTTTGATGGACGATGTAAAAAAACATATGATAAAAAATCCCAAATTTGAGCAAGAAACACTAAAAGCGCTTTACTTACATAACAAAGGCTCAAGTCTTATAGACATGCTTACTTCTTTTGTTCCTATAGATATTACTGATAGTCAACATTAAAGAAGAAAATACTGCTTCTGTGGCCTATTTAATGTAGAAAACACCTATGAACCATCTAAATATCTCTGTGAAACCAGCTGCAGAGTAAAGTTTGGCTAATTGAACTGAAATCAGCCGATAAATCACCTCTGAACTAACACACACACACACATATATATTAAAACCCATTTGGCTGATTGTTAATTACTAAGATTACATTATTTACTGAGAGATGTTGTGGGTAAAGTTGAGTCGATCAATCAAGTGATCTCATACCACCAGCATTTTTTAATGGCTTTTATTGACTGATAACGACAAAAGGCGACCAAATGTGTCCAGTTGTCACATAATTTATTTCCATCTGTATTGTAACAGCATACATTCCATGTTTATGATACAAAAAACTGTAATTTTGTTTCTTTGTCTTATTTTTATTTCTTTTTTTCCAGCATATCCAATACATTTCAACGTACACTGATGTGTAAATCAGATTCAATGTTTCTTTGTGCATTTAAACCTCCTCTACCTCTCACTGTCTTTCCAATAACTGTGTTTGAAAGATTATTACCATTAGAAAGAAGAAAGTGTTCGATGTGTTGTTAACATCATTTCCTTCTTGTTCGTTAAATCTGTTGGAGGGAACAGCTCGAGTCCTGATTCTCACAGGGGGAATGTACAGTATGTTTAAGCCCTTGTAGCTTGTTTCCTTTCATTTGTTTAAACAATTTAGTAATAAAACATAAAAATAAAAAGAATCCACAGTGAGTGAATGCTCAGTTGTTTGCAAGCTGTGGTGGTGTTTTTGTGAGTGTCCTTGAGAGGGTGTGTCTATGTACGTGTGTACTAAACATAAATACACCAACGGCCGAGAGCAGCCGGAGCACAACAGCAGTTCACTTCAGTCACAGTGACAAGGAGTCGAAGGACAATGGTTTTAGAAAAGAGAGGACTCGTCCAGGAGATAAAACGGACGATATGTCAGTTCTTTTGAAAGCAGAACTTATTGCGACCCATAAATATTTCACAGCGTTTGAGGCTCGCTCAGCTCTTGCTTGCATTTGTTGGTTAGTAGCAGGAGGAGGAGGAAATATCACACTGTATCTGTTCTGGGACACTCTCCAAGGTAAGTGTGCAAGGGAGTGTGTGTGTGAAAGTGTGTGTATGGGTCCACCCATGTTGGGGTTATAATAAGACAGAGAAGTAGATGGACATATTTATACCTCCGCTGATAAACAGGCAGGCAGCACCTCCTGTAAACATGCTGCTTTAAGAAAACAGGGGAAAAGAAAAAGGACTCTGACTGCTGGGAAAATATCAGAGCTTCAGAAAGACTAAAACCTGAACAGCGCTGGTCAGATCAGAGGGAAATCTGAGCTCTTCGGTGCTGATTAGAACTACACAAGATCAACTTTTGAATCTACGAGGGCAAACACCTACAGAAGACAGTGAGGGAGTGAACTCTGAGGGTGAAAAATTGAAGGAAATCTAAAGTGTGACAGGACAAAGAGGAGCAGTCATGCCAGGCTCAGGAGGAGCAGAGTGAGTGAAACAGCTGCGTATGCACACAGTAACTTTGTGTATGCATGCGTGTGTGTGTGTGTGTGTGCTTAGTCATGCATGTTTCAATATGCAGTAAAATATTTTAAGGAGTAATGACATTTTATCCAATATGGATTTTTGTGTCATGAAACTTTGAATAATGAGAAATCACAGTGCAGCTGTTCAAGATCATAAAAATGTTAAAACTCCTGTACAGTTCATTATTGATAATCAAATAATATTTTCATGTTTATGAAATCAAATAGTTGCTATGTGCAGAGCCACACAGATTCTAAATACAGCACAGAGTCACATGAGGAAATTAGAGCTTCACGTACATGTGAGAGTGCCATAATGTGTCTCTTGTTTGGAAGCCCAAAGGGAGAAGATTACTCCACTGCCATCCTGAAGCAGAAGCATAGACCAAACAGGCTCATTGTAGATGAGGCTGTCAGTGAAGACAGCAGCATTGTCAGCCTATCACAGGTGTGTGTAAGGTGTAGATATAGCCACACAGAGTCCTGTTTGTCTTCTTGTTAGACTGTTAGGCTTATGTGTGTGAGTGTGTGTGTTTGCGTTAGCGAAAGACAGAGGAGCTCCAGCTTTTCCGAGGAGACACCGTGGTGCTGAGAGGGCGGAAACGACGGCAAACAGTGTGCATCGTCCTGACGGATGACACCTGTGGAGATGAACGAATTCGGATGAACCGTGTGACGCGCAACAACCTGCGTGTCCGGCTTGGTGACGTCATCAGGTGCAGTGGACCTCATGCCTGTGGCTTTGAGTGTAGTGTGGAGCTATGAATTTACCATAATCCACAGGTGTCTGCTGATGTGCGTGTCATTACAGTATCCATGCCTGTCCTGATATCAAGTATGGGAAAAAGATCCATGTGCTCCCCATAGATGACACCATTGAAGGCCTATCAGGGAACCTCTTTGATGTTTTCCTCAAACCGTACTTTCTGGAGGCTTACCGGCCTGTGCACAAAGGTACAGCAACACCTCAGCTGCTAGTTATAGCGCAATAAAATCAGCTGAGGTCACATTATAACATAAAACAGAAACTCAAAGAGCACAGGAAGCTGCTGTGAATGTAGTGGCTTCTCCTTTTCATTGTTAGGTGACATCTTCTTGGTGAGGGGAAGCATGCGAGCTGTGGAGTTCAAGGTGGTGGAGACGGACCCCAGCCCTCACTGCATCGTTGCCCCTGACACAGTCATCTACTGTGAGGGAGAGCCAATTAAGAGAGAGGTCTGTGAGAGATTAAAGAGTCTGCTTTGTGTGATGTTAGTGTGTGTTAACATTTAAAGAACTGTAAGAAAACCATTTTATAACAAAATTCTCCTATCTGGGGAATTACTGCAAGAAGTATTGCACCAGTTTGTTCCAGATTGTAGAGCTTATACTGTAAAGTCCTTTATGAAACTGCAAATTGCATGTATCATATTGGCAATGTGTTGTTGTACAATAAATAAATAACATTAATCAGACTGCATTTTGGCTCATTTAAAATTAAACTAGTAAATATTCTTCTCACAGATTTGTTAATTTTTTGTTAGTTCATTGTATAAACTGTTGCTTCATTTGTTGCATCAAAAATAGACATATACTTTCACTTATTTCCAGCCACGACTCACTTCTCTCACATCTATATTAAATTATATTACAGAGCAACTCCATGAATCTCTCTGTTTGCTTGTATTGACCCCAGTTTGAGTTATTTTGAACTAACAATCTCCAAATACTTTTTAGATTAAACATTAGATGAAGATTGTGACTACATGGGGTTTATTTAGGTTTCTGCAGTTTTTCTTTAGTGTGACATTCATTCTTCTTTCATCCCATCCGATTTCTTCCTGTTCCAGTAAAAAGAAGTCTCTTTTGTAGAACCGAACGTCTGACTCAGGACAAATGACTTTCTTGTTTCAGGATACTATCAAATTTATAAAAATGGCTTAAAGGGACCTTTGACGATGCAAAGATATACCCAAAGAAATCTCATTGCCTCATCTTTTAATCAGTACATACAGTAATAAACTGTCTGGCTTTCTGGTGCATGACAGGATGAAGAGGAGAGTCTCAATGACATTGGCTACGATGACATTGGAGGCTGTCGGAAGCAGCTGGCCCAGATCAAAGAAATGGTGGAGCTTCCTCTTAGACACCCAGGACTGTTTAAGGCTATCGGAGTTAAGGTATCATGCACACACACACATGCAGTTCAAAAACAAATTATCATCCCAGCCACCAATAATAGTGATTGTTTCCATTTTAACATGGCATCTTTTTGCATTACTTGGTATGTTCTTCCCTTCTCTCTCAGCCCCCCAGAGGTATCCTGCTGTACGGCCCTGCAGGAACAGGAAAGACCCTGGTGGCCCGAGCTGTAGCAAATGAAACTGGTGCCTTCTTTTTCCTCATCAATGGTGAGACTTTTGTCTACTGAGGCCTGAAAATCTAAAGCACAGAAGGAAATAAATGACTCTCTGCAAAGCAGAATATTATGCAAATAAATGCAGCAAACAAACAAAAATTACTAGTAATAAATTAATTAAAACTTTGAGTTAATATGGTTTTGCAATTCTTTACTTTTGTAAAAACTGTGCTCCAGTTCGTTTTCTGTTGAGTGTCTTGTGTCAGTTAACCAAGAGATGGATTGAACCCTCTTTGAAAGGTAAAACAGAAATGCACAGTAAATAGAAAAAGGAAAAACAACAAACGTTTTACTCAAAAACTCAAAATCTTAAAAAAATAAAATAAACAGAGAAAAATTAAAAGGGGAATTTATTTATTTATTTACCTTTATTCAACCTGGAAGTTCCACTGAGATCACATCTCTTGCCAAGGTAGCGGTCATATATTGAAAATCCATTAAATACAACATAAAGTGCAAGATCTGCAACAAACTAACACACCAATAACTGCAACAAAGAATACTAGTGACCTTTCAAGAAAAACTTTTAAAATGTAGTCAGCTGAATAACAAGAACCTGATGGAGGTT